CATGCATTGACATGACATCAACTCCTTCATTCTTATCACTATGCATCAACTCCTTCATTCTTATCACTATTCATCAACTCCTTCATTCTTATCACTATGCATCAACTCCTTCATTCTTATCACTATGCATCAACTCCTTCATTCTTATCACTATTCATCAACTCCTTCATTCTTATCACTATTCATCAACTCCTTCATTCTTATCACTATTCATCAACTCCTTCATTCTTATCACTATGCATCAGCTCCTTCATTCTTATCACTATGCATCAGCCCCAGACCAATGTTGCTGTTCATGACAAGATTTTCAACTCTGCCGATAACGGAATATTGTGCTTACTACTATAAATTATCATCGACACCTTCTTGGCACTCTCACCACAACAGGAGGAAAAGGAAGATATATGCCTACGATCAGGTCTTCAAAACTTCCTCTTGTTCTCTGGCCACATGTTTATTTATATAACGAGTCAGATCGGGGTAGTAGAAGTGTATTAGAAAGGATGCATTGGATAGAGGGTCCGGGTCGATGCCCTATAATTATGCATGCCCCTCAGTTGGATTCAAGCGCTCAATGAGTTAATGACAAGTGTACGTATACTTGTGTTACTTGTTGTTATTGAGGATGTATCCCCCATCCCATCCTTATTGTTGTATCATTGGGAGAGTTACGGTATAATAAGAGTGTTACAAGGTGCCCGATCAAAGTCCATTATCAACACTACTGAGTAGCAATATTAACATCCTAATCTCCATTATTAGTATGATTCAACTGCTACTACTACTGTTGCTGTTGTTGTTACTGATATCCTCGTTATATCCATAACAAATAGTGATGATACAAGAAGACAGTAAAGCCGGGAAGCATCCAGCATAAGTGATAAGCTTACAAATATGGTAATTATGACCACATAGATGTTGGTGATGAGGAGTTGTTAAATATTATTGTAAAATAGGATACATGTACTTGCAGGAATGTGATAGGATTATAATATACTGTACATTATCGTGATACTTATTATTGTACTATGATCATATCACTATCAACCCAACATTATGTGCTCATACCATAAACACTTATACAACCCTGAAATACTCTGGCTATTTGCAGTCTTCTTCTTCTCGTACAGCACCCCTTCAACCAGGCTGATTGTAGCCAGTATAGAGGTATCGCTGCGAATTCAGGCTGTCATAGCATGAGTAGCCCTGGTGTAGAAGTACACATGTTACCATGGGTAACGGGGGGGAAAGCCCCCAGCATCTTCCCAATTGAATTACGATATACATTTTGGCTAAATCTTATGAAGGTATCTCAGCCATGCTGCTGCCCAAAGAGGCATTAGACATTAATAGCCTAATTGATCCGATATACGTATTCGACGACCTCTATTACCAACCGATATCATTGGTACATATACTGATAATAATAACTATGATGTTAATCATATGCTATTCTATGTTAATATTATGTATAACGTACTATGAGTGATCATTGCCATTGATGATTATGTTAATTAACATCCTATCATTCCCAGGAGCAAGTACTACCGAAGATATACGAAGATGTAGTGCTATCATCGGCAGGACACTCAGTGGCGGTACCAAGCTGCTCTAAGATTCACGCGACCAACAGTGGCCTATTTAACAACACTTCTTCGCCGTACTATTGTTACTACTACTAATTTAGTAGATGTTGTAAGTTATGAACATTGGTATTCCAACCCAACATGAAGAATTATTGCGAAATGACCTTGAACGACTACGATGGAGACGACAATTCATATAAATCAATAAATGGTTATTATTATTATTATCATCATCATCTCAGTCATCATTGTCCCCTCAACCATAACCCATACCACTACTGGTCATGACGTATTTTATGAATCATATCCTTAGTAATGTCATCCAGATTATTGAATGTTGGAGACCAACCCCAATCATTTTTAGCATTAGTATCATCCAAAGATGCCGGCCATGATTGTGCAATATCTTGTCTAAAATCAGGTATACAAGTAAGCTTGTAATTATCAATGAACTTCCTAATACTAATAGACTGTTCATGAGGAGTAAATGAACATCCTGAAACATTATAAGTTCTACCCGATTTAAGATTCTCAGAAGTAGTATCAAACAAGAACTTAATCGTACCACTAATAACATCATCAATATACAACATAGGCATCATACAATCATCCTTTACGAAACAATTATCATATGATGCTGATTGAGATACAGCTTTGAAATAGGCTTCAATAGCCCAATCAGTAGTACCACCACCAGGAGGAGATTTCCAACTAATTATACCAGGATAACGTAATGATCTGAAATCAACTCCACGATTCCTATAATACCAATCACCCAATAATTCAGCATATACTTTACCAATACCATATAGATAGGTAGGCCTTTGTATAGTAATATCAGGTGTATTGAACCTTGGTGTAGTAGAACCAAATGCACCAATACTAGATGGGATAAATACCTGTATATTACCCAATGTTGATGCCACTTCTAATGCATTCTCAGTACCCCTCATATTAATATTAATAGCTTGTCGGGGATTACGTTCACTTACAGCCGATAACATAGCAGCAAAATGTATAATATGTGTAATATTATTATTAGTAGCAACCTTAGTGAACTCAGATATATTCTGTACATCTAAATGCTCGAATGGGCCAGATCTAACCCATTCTGATTTAGGATCAATAGTTCTTGAAGTACATATAACATTATCATTACCAAATCTATTACGTAAATTATATGCTAATTCAGGACCTAACTGACCATTAGTACCAGTAATAAGTATACGAGGTATGGATGACAAAACTGATGATGATGATGATGTTGTGGATAAATGTCTAGCAATAGTAGCAATGGTATGACTAAGGTGATTATGATGAATTCCCAACATGATTACTATAAGTTAAAAACTGCAAAGGTAGATAATATCTACTAGACATCTCAACAACAACAACTACGGACCAATATACTAGCTAATTTCCGATGTCTCTGGTTTGATCCCCCGGCAACACACACATTATCCTCCTCACCACCCTCATGACAACCGAAATCTAGTCAAGTGCAAGTGCATGTAAAGTATATTAAGGGCAACAAATGAATAATAGTGTTAGTGCTGGTAGTAGTAGTAGTAGTAGTAGAATTCCGCAATTCTGTACGACCCCAATAAGACACTTCACCGAGTGTCACCGAATGAAAAGTAGTGCAAGTGGGTAAAATCCATATTTCCAAAGAAAGTGCCTCTTTTCTAAAGGTCCTTCGCGCTCGCCCCGCGGACCCTTGCGTAACAGCTTGCCTTGCGTATCAGCTTTGCCTTGCATAACAGCCTAGCCTTGTATAACAGTTCGGGTTTTTGGTTTCCGTCAATAGCAGTTCAGCCTCGGACAACAGTTCGGGTTCCGGGTTGCCCTGTAATTAATGTTTTTTCCTCTCGGCCCGGTTGCATTCTCAGTTCTTTGCGGTCACTCGTACCGTCGCTTCTATGCCTGCTCCTAGGACTACTTACGGACCACGCTTTCGCACTCTGTGGTTCGACGATGACGATCTCGTTCCTGGTGGTACGTGGCCTCGTGGGAAGATGCTCAAGTACAAGTTAGAAGACCTTTTGGATGTTGAACTGAAAAGCTACGGTAGCAACCGTCGAAACGAGATCCCGTGCTTCCGTACTTTCATATGTCCTTCACATCGCGAATGCCAATTCAAGGTAAACCACACTGCTTTTGTGAGTCGGCTGAAACTCGTCTGAGGCGTTCTACGTATTAGGTGAAGGCAATCCGGATCTCGGGTCCATCACCGCCCCGCCTAGGAAGCGCGTCGCATGCTGGCGTCGTCCCTGTCGGTCCGTCATATGGGTTAATCGTCGCTTACTGTGGTCTATGAGCCCTCTAATAGCGGCCAAACATATCCCCAACACATCACATCAAGAAACAAGCCTGTAGCAATGATTCCTGAGGAATCAACACCGGGACAATCTCCTTGTCTCGGTGTTGATTCCTCTGAGTCGTCTGGAAACAACGGGACACCAGGGAAGCGTACGTGGGCGGATTCAGTGTGGAAGGTCGCTTGAAGGCAGACTGCATGTGGTTGGGCTGTGCGGTTCAGCACGGAGTACGGAGCCCTGCTAACGTGTGATCATGCTATACCGTTAGTATGATATCATGTCGTTACGGTTCTACTATGTTACGGCTATTATATTGCTTTGTGCGAATCATGGTCTGTGCATGCGTGTTGTCTATCATTCCTGCGCGAACGCAGGCGCGTCACGTTAGGTTTCAAGGTTGGTTCTGAAGTTGATTCTCTGAATTCCCCTGGAGCCTGGACTTAGGCACAGGGTCTAAGGTACACGGTTTCATCATTGTGTACCCGCTAGTGGCTACGCTTCCATCAATAGCTGAGGGATAGTATATGGTATTTGTCAAGCGACAGATATTGAGCTCAATAAGTTATTTATGGTATTGACTAGAAGTGGTAAGAACTCTGATACTATGGTGGTTTGCACTGACTATCCTATACCCGTGTCTAGCATTGCTAAGGTCAGGGATTATGCTTCTCGTAAGGTCCGCGAGAGGCGGTATGAGAAGTTAATCGTGTCTGGTTTGGGTTTGGTCCTGGACACTCTGCTCACCATGCTTTGGAACGCATGGACAACAGTCCAGAAACTCGCGGAAGCGCACAGGGCAAGAGACCGGTAACGAGCCACTTCCAACTTGATGCCAAATGAGCCACTGATGTTGTAGGATACCACGGTAGATCGATGGGGGTGCTTGCGA